TTCTCTTGTTCTCTTCTCTTTTCATTTGATGACTTTCTTTAATGTTATATTTTGATTCATTTTTCTCTTTTTTGTGTGTCTATTATAGTTTTTTGGTTTGCGGTTACTATGAGATTCATATATAATAAGTTATGAATATAGCTGTATATATTAAGTTCATGGTTGCTTTAGTTCAAATGCATTCTAAAAGCACTAATTTTTCTCACCTCGTTCACATTTTATGCTTTTTCATATCACATTTTCCATTTTCATGAATGTGTATTTCTTAACTAATTCTTGTAGATATAAATAATTTTACTACTTTTTGTTGTAATTATTATATTAGCTTTATAAGTGATTGATCTATTAGCTTTGTACTCCATGTTTTCCTTTACTAGTGAAATTTTTTTCTTTCAGATATTTTCCACTAGTTTTGGCCTTTCTTTTCCACTTAGAAAAGTCTCTTTAACATTTCTTATCATGCCGGTTTAGTGGTGATGAACTCCTTTAGCTTTTGCTTGTCTGGGAAACTGTCCTTCAATTCTGAATAATAACTTTGCTGATTAGAGTATTCTTGTATGTAGGTTTTACCTTGTAAGCTTTACACTTCAATTATTTTGAATATAATGTCACTTCCTTCTGGCCTGCAAATTTCTGCTGAACTATTAGCTAATAGTTTTATGGGGGTTCCTTTGTACTTTAGCAGTTTTACTCCTGCTGTTTTTAAGATTCTCTCTTTAACTTTGACATTTTTAATTATTATGTGTCTGGTGTGAGTCTCTTTGGATTTATCTTTTTTAGGACTCTTTGAGACTCTTGGATTGGGTTGTCTGTTTTCTCCACCAAATTAGGGAAGTTTCCAGGCACTATTTCTTCAAATAGGTTTTTTTCCCTTTAACTCTCTTCTCCTTTTGGGATTTCTATAATGTGAATATTAGTATGCTTATGTTGTCCCATTAAACTATCCTCTTTTTTATTTTTTATTTTTCCTATTCTGATTGGGTGATTACCAGTACTATATCTCCCAGATTGCTGATTTGTTCTTTTATATCATCTAATTGCTGTTGATTCCTTCTGGAGTATTTTTTTAATTTCAGTTATTTATTGTATTTTTCAGTTCTCATTATATTTTCTGGGATTCTCACTGTGTTCATTCATTCTTCTTCCAAATTTTGTGAGCACCCTTATGATTACTATATTGAAGTCTTTATCTGGTACACTGGTTATCTCTATGTTTTTTAGTTCTTTTTCTGGGGTCTTGGAATATTCTTGTTCTTTTGGAACATATTCCTCTGTCTCCTCATTTTGCCTAACTCTCTGTGTTGTTTCTATGTATTTGGCATACCTGCTGTGTCTCCTCATATTGAAAGAGCTTATTGTAAAAAGGGTCCTGTGGGGCCCAGTCATATAATCCTTCCCATTCATCAGAGCCAGGTGCTCCAAAGTGTAGGTTGCATGTACTTGTTGAGATTGGGCTGCAGATGTTAAAGTCATGTTTGTAAGCAGGTTGGTCCCCAGGCTGTGAGACCCTGCCACAATTGCTTCAGATACACTGGTGAACAAGACGTTCCCAGCCCAGTTTTTGGCGAAGCCTGTATATGACTATTGTAGATGCACTTGTGGGCAGGGCTGCTCCTTGACCTACCAGACTGTGGGACCCAGCTGAAGTTTCTGTGGGTATGCTGGTGTTCAGGTAGATCCCAAACATGGCTAGCTGCAAGGCTCAGCCTCAACTGTTGTGAACATGTTGGTGTGTGAGGACTAGCCCTGTGGAGGGAGAGTCACTTTGTAGGGACACTTGTCATAGAAAAAGCTGCTCACCAGGTGTGGCAGGTTGGAGCTAGGGCTGTTTGTGAGGGGTGCCAGTGCCAGCAAAAGCTGCCAAACAGATGTGTTAGGAGTGATGCTAGATAGAGTGGCAGGTTGGGCCAGGTGGGATCTCATGGGAACATCAGGGCAGGGTGAACAATATTAGCAAGTTTAATGGAGAGTGTTAGAAATGGTGCCTGCCAGCTCTAGGCTAACTAGGAGTATAAAGAATAAATAGTGTTTGCCAGTGCTTTTGTCCCCAGAGAAAGCTTAAACAGATTCTTGCCCCTCCAGCAGTTGCCCTAAAATTAGTGAAAGTATCTCCTTTATGTATGACCCAGGAGTTTTGCAAACTGCTGCCTCAGTTCTGGAACTCCAAGAGGGTGAGTTTGTGCACAAGCTCTTTAAGAACGGAGTCTTGGTTCCCTAGAGCCCTTCAGCTCTCCTGGACATAAGCACCACTGGTTTTCATAGCCAACTGTTATAGGGACTTACCTTCTTGGTTTAGGTTCACCTGGGTTGGGGAGCTCATTGTGAGGCTCAGATCCAGCACTTCCCAGGGGGACCTCCCTGGTGATGAAATATCTCCAGCTTGCAGGAAGCCACACTGGGGGTGTGGTTCCTGACTAGAATCTCCTACCCTTTTCAATGTGGCTTTTCTCTAAATTCGTAGTTGTAGAAAAATCTGTTCTGCTAGTCTTTAGGTCATTCTCAAAGATATTTGTTCTATGTGTAGTTGTAGTTTTGATGTGTCTATAGGAGTGAGCTCAAGGTTTTCCTACCCCACAGTCTTGACCCTCTATTCTTCAGCTTTTCTAAAGCTGATTTAACACTGGGAATTATAACTTTAATAAGGCCAGAACACTTAGAGGAAAGGCAACTTGGAGGAGAAAGGTGTAGAGAATTTAACATCCTTATTCTACATCATAAAGGAAGGAAATTGTTCTTCAGGGACCATGTATTATGGCAGGGTTCTGAAATGAGATAAAAATAAAACTGCATCTTGCACTTCTGTTTGCTGTAATGTTGCAGTCAGAATAGCCCATTGAACACCATGTAAAATATAAATTGGCTCCATCAGAGCATATATACAGTGAGCCGCAAGCAAGCCTGTGGCCCCACTATGTGCCAGGCATAGTGCCAGACACATTGCATCATTATGGCATTGAATCTTCACAGAAATTCTCTGGATATTAGTATCCCCATTTTAAAGTTGAGGAAAGTTCAGCTTCTAAGAGGCAATGTTTCTTACCTAAGTAATTATGACACTTGAGGTTCAAAATTAGGATTACCTGAATTTCATTAATTCAGAGTATTTCGGGAACTTCTAGACTTTCAAACTGGAAAATATCTTGATGAGCTTAACTTCTTTCCCATGAGAAAACAAAATTAGGCAGGAGAATATCAGGCACATTATACATACTTCTGTGTAAGAGTAAAGAAGTCATTGGAGTCTTGCAGAGTGATGCCCAGCACAAGCTCAGCAGATGTGAACTCTGTCTTCACAGCTGTAAGGGCAAACCATGCAGTAGGCAGCATCAGGGAAAGGGAAGGAAGACCAGTGCACCCCCCACTCAGGCTTCTCTCCCCAGTGTCCCATTAAAACTACAAATGCATGGACAGAAATCTGTCTCTGGACTAGATTTTATAAACTACAGTTTAAATGGGTAGTTAGAGTTAGCTTCACATACAGTACTCATTTGCAGATGGAATGGGAGAAAGACAGGAGGATATCTAACCTTTACCCAGTGCTATCATGTTTCTGACAAATGTATTATTGACAGTTAAACTCTCAACATTAAAAAAACCTGTAGGTTTTGGCATCAGACCAGGTTTTGCTTTCCAGATAGGTTGATTAGTAGCTAGGGAAATGTGAAGCTTGTTTCTGCATATTCAAAGTAGGAGCAATTATACTTATTCCATAGAAATGTTAGTGTCTCTATGGAAAGCAGTGTGGAATTTCCTCAGAAAGCTGAAAATGGAACTGCCTTTTGATCCAGCGATTCCCCTGCTGGGACTATACCCTGAGAACACCAAAACGCCAATACAAAAGAACCTATGCACCCCAATGTTCACAGCAGCACAATTTACAATAGCCACGTGTTGGAAGCAACCTAAATGCCCATTAGTAGATGATTGGATCAAAAAATTATGGTACATATACACAATGGAATACTACACAGCAGAAAGAAAAAAAGAAGTACTAAACTTTGCGACAGCATGGATGGAACTGGAGAGCATCATGCTAAGCGAAATAAGCCAGGGGGCGAAAGACAAATACCATATGATCTCACCTATAAGCGGAACCTAACCAACAATGCAAAGATGCAAGGAAAATATGACCAGCAACACTTAAAGGAAAAGAAATCAACAGAGACAAGAGGGAAGGGGGGGGCAGGGAAAGGGAAGGGAAGGGGAAAGTCAAGGAACATATAGCAAGGACTCATGGACAAAACCAAAGGGGAAGAGCTGAGGGAGGGAAGGTGGGAGGGGGCAAGGGAAAGAGGTGGGGGGGAGGCAGAGACAAATGTATTTAAAAAGTAAATAAATTAAAAAAATAAAATAAAATAAAATAAAAAGAAATAAAAAGAAAAAGAAAAAAAAAAAGAAATGTTAGTGTCTTTTCTCCACACCTGTTCCCTCTTTTTTCTGCCTTTGAGGGACAAGATCTACTTTTAGAATTACAGAAGGAAGGGTATTTGACCCTTCCTGAAGTAAGTAGATAATTTTGGGTTAATGGTCAACTTTGTCCTTAGAACATTCTTTGAGGGTTTGTCAGATTGTATCTTTCCCTTTTTAAAGATAAGAAAATGGAAGTGGCTATTTCCTGCTTATCTCTAGTTAGTGACACAGTGTGGCAGTCACCATGAGAAGGACCTAACATAAGGAAAACCAGGGAATGTAAAGACTTCAACTTCAGCCCTAATTTCTCTGTATCTAGACCTGTACACTAGGCATTATCAACACTGCTCTCTCTCTCTCAAAGTCAGTGCTCTGTGGTCTGAAATGAAATCAGAGTGGGGAAAAGCATTTTTAAAATCCTGTTTGAAAGCAAAAATGTCACAAGACACTGACTCTCAAACCTCTTGGCCCTCTGTATAGAGTTTGATCCAGTAGACCTTCCTCCTTCAGGAGAAATGACCTTGGTTTTTGAGTTTACATTTAGACAAAGTTACTAAGTGGTTTCCCTTGACTGTTTTCTTTGTGCATAGACTACCTTAATGTCAAGAGTGTTCACCTGTTCAAGGAGAGATGGGACAGCAACAAAGTGGATCATCACACTGACAAGTATGATAACAACAAGCTAATTGTACGTAGAGGACAGCCTTTCTACATCCAGATTGACTTCAATCGTCCGTACGACCCCCGAAGAGATCTCTTCAGGGTGGAATACGTCATTGGTGAGTGCCATATGTGAGCCCAAGTCACTGTTGTGAGTCTATATCATCATGTCATGTTAGTCACGGTGCTATGGTCATAAAATAGAGTGGGTATAGTTTTATTTGCATTATATCCTAGAATCATACTGTAACATTTGGCTGAAGGTGATATTACATGCATCCCCTGACAACCCTATACTTTAAGATGGGTCTATATAATGCCAAACATCAATAATTTTTACCTACCCTGGCAAAACTCTGGTATAAGTAAAAGTGAATTCAGTTGGCACAAATATTAGTTAAATTATTTTTCCCCAAAGTTTTAGTATCCTACACTTGTGACTTTTAATTTATTCTTCTGCCTTCATGATTTAATTGGTCTCTGGTGTTGAAATATTTGCAAATCTTAGCATGCAATCTCCACTTAAGCATTTCCCAAAAGTTTGTTCTGCTTAACATGGCAACATCAAATGGCCCATGAAAAATGGATGGTCAAATAAATTTCACTAAACACTTTTGCCCTATTCTCCTCTTGTAACTTGACAATGTTCATTAACTAGAATGGTTCTGGGAAGTACCATTTAACTTTGATCTAGTGCTTCTTAAATTAAGTTTATCGTGGAAACTTTTATTAGGTTATAGCTATTAGTATTTGACACATTTGATAAGTATTTTTCTAGAAATTTAAAAGAGTAGCAAATAAATACATGGACAGAAAAGAAAGGTTGGCTCAATATCAGGAAACCTGTCTATATGATTATATACATAAATAAATTAAAAGAAAAATCAAGCAATCAAGCCAAGTCACTAAAAAAAATAATTAAATTCAACAGCTGTTTTTAAGAAAATATTTAAATAAAACAAAATAGAAGGACTCTCTTCCATTATATTTAAGATTATTTACCCCAAACCAATAACTTTTGGTATCATTAGTGGCAAAAATTTAACAATTTCAATATTAATCAGAAATTAGAGATGTCCACTATCACCATTCCTTATTTTTTAAAAAACATTGTTTTAAAGGTTGCAAATAAATAATATAAAAGAAATATATACTATAAACACTAAAAACTAAGAGAGAAAAATTATACTGTATTAATGCAATCACTGTATATGCAGAAAACTCAACAGATTAAAGGGGAAAAAAAGCATAGTATTAATAAAGCTTTGTAAGATGGCTAGATAGAAGTTAGTAGCTTTTCACTTCTCTAGCTATAAGGACAAAGAAATTTAAAAAAATGCTACATATAAAAGTAAATAAAACTATGTAGTATAGAAAGAAGTTTTATAAAATAAGATTCAACCTACATAAAGCAGATATAAAATCTTAATAAAAGACATGTACAAGACATGAGAAACCAATAAAAAACAAATATGTTCATTCTGAAGTCTCAATGTATTTTAAAAAATGGTTTCCCAAGATTAAAGTGTATATTTAATTGATTTTCTATTAGAATCCCATTAGAAGTTTTATTATTTTTTGACTGGATAAAATAAGTTATTTTGAAAGAATAATTACCTGATAATAACCAATAAAATTACACAAAGAAATAATAATAAATCATTTTCTATCAGAAGCAGCTATAAGAATATACAATAAAAAATATTTAGTAAAATAGGGAATCCAGAAATAGACCTCCATATATAAGATTACTTAATATAGTTGTTTAATGGACTAAGAAAAACGTGTGAATTTTTTGCATTTTGATATTTTAGCATATGTATGAATATATATTATATATAACATATAATATCTATGTATATACATTTGTAATATATATACCCTAATACCACAAATGACCAAATGTATGACCAAATGACCAAAAATACCACAAATGAGGTTAATTGACAAAACAGATCTGGAAAAATATTCAAAACATGCATTGAGATAAAGGGTTAACAGAGAAAGAAGAAAAACTCTTCTTCTTTACAAATTGGCAATATAAAGATAAAGCAATAGAAAAATATGTAAAGTATATAGAGATATTTTGCAAAAGAAAAAATCCAGATGGTCTATAATCATATGAAAATGTGCTCATATTCACTTGTATGTTGGAAAAACAAATCAAAGTAATATCTATCAGACTGGCAAAAATTTAGAAAAGACTGTAATGTCTGCTGGCATGTATAAAGAGAAAAGCATGCATTGCTGATAAAGATGGACAATTTTATAATTTTTTGAAAGCAATTTACTGTATCATTTAATATTAAAAAGGCATATGCCCTTGACCCAGGAATTCCAGTGTGAGGAATCTCTATCAAAAATATTGAAACCCAGTTTATAAAGGTAGGTATTTTTTACTGCAGCATTGTTTATTTTTTAAAGATTTTATTTATTTATTTATTTATTTATTTATTTATTTATTTATTTTTAGAAAGACAGGAAGGCAGGGAGAAAGAAAGGGAGAGAAACATCAATGTTTGGTTGCCTCTTGTGTGCCCCCAACTGGGGACCTGGCTCACAACCCAGGCATGTGCCCTGACTAGAAATCAAACCAGCAACACTTTGGTTCTCAGGCCAACACTCAACCCACTGAGCCACATTAGCCAGGGCAGCATTGTTTATAGTGACAAAAAAAAAACCCAATATAAAAATGAATGTCTCTCAATAGTTAAATGGTTAAAATATTGTTATATATTCATATAATGAATTGTTATTTTTTAAAATAACAATTTAAGAGAGGTAGTGAGTAAGAAAACAGAGAAAACAAAATATAGAAAAGTGAGCACAAGATCTATGTATGTGTAGCTGTATATGTGAATAGATCTGTATAGTATTGAGTGCAGAAAAGAATATGAAGCACACACAGAAGTGCTAACGTGGGTTCCTGGTGGGAGTGTATCCAAAATAGGAGAAACAAAAGGAAGAGGAACCAAGCAAGAGAGGGAGGAGGGAAAAGCAAGAATAATATGACTATATGAAGGCATCTATGTAAAATGATCGATCTATGTGGGAGTATATGTAAAGATATTAAAGATAATTCAATTTAAACAAAAATACTTTCTTTAAAAAAAACTGCAACCTCTTACTACTTGAGTAATATCATTTGTGCTTATTTGCATTTACAGTGCAAATTTGTACATTAGTGTTGGAAAATTGGTTGAAGCCAGAGTAGAAGTGGGGGGAGGAGAAAAGAGACTCCTGAGTCAGAATAAACATCAGTGTGATGCTTGGGTTGTACATAGAATTGTTTGCCATTCCATATGTGGGGTAAGAGAGGGGAAAACTAAATTACTGTTCCTATGTTAGGGAAAATGAAATAACCACAACTGAATTGCATTTGGAGAATAGACTATTAGGGTTAATATTGCTTAATAATGAGTACTTTAGTTGAAAAAGGAATCCACAGCTAGTATTTTTAACAATATTTTAAAACCTGATGAAAGTTTATTTTTCTTCCCCTAAGTTTATTTACCTCCTTCTTTTTTGTGTCCATGTACATTCTTGTTGGACCAGATTTGATTAAAATGCCCTTGACACATAATGGAGTGATCAGTTCATGTAGTTCTGTCTACAGTTTTGCTCCAACTTCACAGTAATTTTTATCTCTGCTTTTAGCCAAATAGTTATAGCAATGAAAGCAGGGTAGGGAAGCTTAGCCCCTGTATTGGACTTGTCAGAAAATAATTATAATAATGGAAGTCTTAGGAAGAATGATAAGGTGGGTTCTCTGGAAATGAACGCTGAGAAGACAATTCGTATGGAAAAAGTTTATTGGGTAGTGCTCTCAGGATGAGAAGCTCTGAGGGAGTAAAGAATCAGGGTTGGTCAGAGGGAGTAGTTGAACTACCTGCAACAAATGCCTCCATGGATCCCTGGTGAGTTCTGGACCTGGATTGGATTTTCAGAGTTGTCCAGTCTTGAGGCAAGGGTGTGGGCCTATATACCCTAGCACATACCAGACTTTGGCTCCATGCCACCTGCAAAGGGATGATAATTACTACATTTGGCTCTCTATAACTGATGGCAAACCCCTGGAAGCAGCTCAGCGAGAGCTCTGTGGCCACCAACTTGCTCAGCATCAGGGACATCAATGACCCTTTCCTGAATAGGAGAGGTCTGGGCACCATATCACAGCACCCACTGCAGTGAGCGTTTAAAGTCCTCTTTTTTACAAAAGTGAAAAGGTGGGGAGAGGGAAGCATAGCAAATTTGCCTTTGAGATAAGAATTTGTATATTTTAAAAAACCAACATGTATTTTAAACCCTTCTAAGAGACTGCAAAGTGTACTTTCAGAGTTAAGCTGTATTCCAATATGTATGATCTATTGCAAGCATTATTATAGTAAGTCCTCACTTAACGTCACCTGTAGGTTCTTGGAATTGCCACTTTAAGAAAAATGATGTATAATGAAACCAATTTTACCATAGGCTAATTGATATAAACAAGAGTTAAGTTCCTACAGCATATTTCTGATCACAAAAAAAAAAAAAATCACCAAACTTCTAAATAAGGACCCTAAGCACTTCTAATATTAAACATTCAAATAAATGTAAGCTAGTTATACATTTAAGTAGGATGAGCAAAAACCAGTGAAACCATTATTTTCCAACCCACTGATTCAGGTTCAGGGTCGTGGGTGTCCAGGGCCTCTCCTGGCAGCTCGGGCACGAGATAGGACCAACACCAGACAGGACTTCCTTCCATCACTGGGTCATTCAAACACACACCCACACTCACTTAGAGGAGGACAGTGTAGGCACGCTCATTCACCTCGCTTGCAGTCTCTGGGATGTGATATGAAAATGAAGTCCCTGGAGAAAACCTGCGCAGACACAGGGAGATCATGCAGTCCACAGACAGTGGCCCCAGCTAAGAATTGATTTTTTTTTATTCTTTAATGACAATAAAGTGATGTTGAATGAAGTGTTGTTACTTGAGGCTTGCTATACATTTGAGGACTTTATTTCTAAACTTATTGTAAAGACAAGAAAAGGAAGATGACAAAATTTCACATTCCACTAATTAATGTATGAGAAATCAAGCACATTTCTAAAGGGCCTCAAAGGATCAGTGATG